CAACACTAAGACCTGAGTTAGTGACCATCACTTGTACAACACTAAGACCTGAGTTAGTGACCATCACTTGTACAACACTAAGACCTGAGTTAGTGACCATCACTTGTACAACACTAAGACTTGAGTTAGTGACCATCACTTGTACAACACTAAGACCTGAGTTAGTGACCATCACTTGTACAACACTTAGACATGAGTTAGTGACCATCACTTGTACAACACTAAGACCTGAGTTAGTGACCATCACTTGTACAACACTAAGACCTGAGTTAGTGACCATCACTTGTACAACACTAAGACCTGAGTTAGTGACCATCACTTGTACAACACTAAGACCTGAGTTAGTGACCATCACTTGTACAACACTAAGACCTGAGTTAGTGACCATCACTTGTACAACACTAAGACCTGAGTTAGTGACCATCACTTGTACAACACTAAGACCTGAGTTAGTGACCATCACTTGTACAACACTAAGACCCATCACTTGTACAACACTAAGTTAGTGACCATCACTTGTACAACACTAAGACCTGAGTTAGTGACCATCACTTGTACAACACTAAGACCTGAGTTAGTGACCATCACTTGTACAACACTAAGACCTGAGTTAGTGACCATCACTTGTACAACACTAAGACCTGACCTGAGTTAGTGACCATCACTTGTACAACACTAAGACTTGAGTTAGTGACCATCACTTGTACAACACTAAGACCTGAGTTAGTGACCATCACTTGTACAACACTAAGACTTGAGTTAGTGACCATCACTTGTACAACACTAAGACCTGAGTTAGTGACCATCACTTGTACAACACTAAGACCTGAGTTAGTGACCATCACTTGTACAACACAACACTAAGACTTGAGTTAGTGACCATCACTTGTACAACACTAAGACCTGAGTTAGTGACCATCACTTGTACAACACTAAGACCTGAGTTAGTGACCATCACTTGTACAACACTAAGACCTGAGTTAGTGACCATCACTTGTACAACACACTTGTACAACACTAAGACCTGAGTTAGTGACCATCACTTGTACAACACTAAGACCTGAGTTAGTGACCATCACTTGTACAACACTAAGACCTGAGTTAGTGCCCATCACTTGTACAACACTAAGACCATCACTTGACCATGACCATCACTTGTACAACACTAAGACACTGAGTTAGTGACCATCACTTGTACAACACTAAGACCATCACTTGTACAACACTAAGACCTGAGTTAGTGACCATCACTTGTACAACACTAAGACCTGACCATCACTTGTACAACACTAAGACCTGAGTTAGTGACCATCACTTGTACAACACTAAGACCATTAGTGACCATCACTTGTACAACACTAAGACCTGAGTTAGTGACCATCACTTGTACAACACTAAGACCTGAGTTAGTGACCATCACTTGTACAACACTAAGACCTGAGTTAGTGACCATCACTTGTACAACACTAAGACCTGAGTTAGTGACCATCACTTGTACAACACTAAGACCTGAGTTAGTGACCATCACTTGTACAACACTAAGACCTGAGTTAGTGACCATCACTTGTACAACACTAAGACCTGAGTTAGTGACCATCACTTGTACAACACTAAGACCTGAGTTAGTGACCATCACTTGTACAACACTAAGACCTGAGTTAGTGACCATCACTTGTACAACACTAAGACATGAGTTAGTGACCATCACTTGAACAACACAATTAGACCTGAGTTAGTGACCATCACTTGTACAACACTAAGACCTGAGTTAGTGACCATCACTTGTACAACACTAAGACCTGAGTTAGTGACCATCACTTGTACAACACTAAGACTTGAGTTAGTGACCATCACTTGTACAACACTAAGACTTGAGTTAGTGACCATCACTTGTACAACACTAAGACCTGAGTTAGTGACCATCACTTGTACAACACTAAGACCTGAGTTAGTGACCATCACTTGTACAACACTAAGACCTGAGTTAGTGACCATCACTTGTACAACACTAAGACCTGAGTTAGTGACCATCACTTGTACAACACTAAGACTTGAGTTAGTGACCATCACTTGTACAACACTAAGACCTGAGTTAGTGACCATCACTTGTACAACACTAAGACTTGAGTTAGTGACCATCACTTGTACAACACTAAGACATGAGTTAGTGACCATCACTTGTACAACACTAAGACTTGAGTTAGTGACCATCACTTGTACAACACTAAGACCTGAGTTAGTGACCATCACTTGTACAACACTAAGACATGAGTTAGTGACCATCACTTGTACAACACAATTAGACTTGAGTTAGTGACCATCACTTGTACAACACTACGATTTGAGTTAATTGCTCAAACTGCAGAACTTTCAAAGAAAATGATTAGATAAATTCAGATTTTTGAAATTCCTCCAGAAACACGTCCATGGACAATTCATTCGGGGTTCATCATTTTCGATTTCACCTACCAAAAACAGTAACGCTCTCTTCTTAAACACCTGACGGGCCGGCTACTTCAGCAAAATGTCAAGCCTGGTCTTGTCATGCATTGGCAAGGTCACATTTGCAACAAGGAGATCTTTTGAAATAAGCCTGATTTTTCCCTAGAATTCATACATTAAATCATGATGTTGTAAATAAGAAGCATGAGTGTTGTAGTTTAACACTAACAGGCTATCTTTTATAATAGCCGTAACCATAGCAACATCTATTTGTCATGCACATATCTGAATATTGTTTACCTTGTTCACGATAGGCAGTTCATACAAAAGCTAATTTCAGAGGATACATAATGCCAAGATCATTTTTGGTGACAATCATAAGCTTCAGGTTGATATGATAACATATTTTGGAGATGGCTTAATATAAGATTTATAATCTTGTTGCCAGATCCATTTTCAATTTTATAATTTGTGTATGTGTATGTTGTAAATGAAAATCTGAAAATAAAATATTGTTTAAACAACATATTTCCCAACTAATATTGAAGAGTGGATCTGAATTCCTTGCCAGATGATGAACTTCGCAACGCATTCCACTGTATAGCACCCCGCCCACCCGTGGTATCTTGTTTATATCAGTGGTGAAGCTTCTTTTGGATTAAGGTTTTGGGGATAGAACATGATTTCACCTAATATGAAATGACGTTAATTTCATTTTTTGTGTGAGATGAATGGGATATTGTTGGCTAAGGAGACGCGGACGAGAATATCTGAATGTGATAACATTGTTTTAGATCAAACTTCTAATAACTGGGTTTTATATATATTAGTGTATTGTTTGGTTTCGTTGTAACACTATTTCATGGTTAAACTAAATATCATGAACCAAACAGAGATAAAAGCGTTGTCAGCAGCTGTTTACGTTTACACGAAGCACAAGCCCCTCAGTTCTGAACAAGATATCGTTACAGTTTAAATGGCCCGTGCAAACCCTGCATTTTCCATAAACAAGAAGCGATCTTGGTTTCTATGGTAAGCGTACACAACCACTGTGAAACCCCCTCCCCCCGGGGGCAAGTGCAATCAGCAAGCATATGTCAGGTGTAGCCTATTTATATTACTTCATACCTAGGTCAAACGAATGTAATGTGGGAATAAGTGCTGGTTAAAAGCTCTTGCTTACAGTCATCATCTCCAAATCTATGGTTAGTAGCAGGAAGCTATTGCTTGAAAACTCAATCACTATAGTTATATTTTCTTATTCACATGATGCCCTCGTGGTTGTATCGATGTGTTTTATTCTATTTTTACCTTTTTATGCGATTCCTGCAGGATTCACATTTATGACATACGTTAGATTTGAAAGTAAAATCTGGAAACGGTACACCCAAATTTGGTCCCCTCTCGTCATCAACGCCATCATCATCATCATCATCATCATCATCATCATCATCATCATCATCATCATCATCATCAACAACAACATCAGCATCAGCATCATCATCATCATCGTCGTCGTCGTCATCATCATCATCATCATCATCATCATCATCATCATCATCGTCATCATCATCATCATCATCATCATCAGCATCATCATCATCATCATCATCATCATCATCATCATCATCATCATCATCATCATCATCAACATCATCAACAACATCACTGTCTGCATACATATGTTAAGACTCATAATCTGTATACATTTCAAAACTTTCACCGAGGGAAAAATGTTATTCGAGAACAGATAACCTTGAAACCCTCATCTTCAACATCACCTTCGATATCACTGCCATTATAAGCCCGAACTTTCCTGTAACAGGTGTATCTACTTTGTTACATTCACATTTATTACTGATGTTACCAGGCGAGAGGAAAGACATGACTAAATTCATCGTCTATACCACCTCATCTAACAACAGCGGAATTGTGAGGTAGTGACATCTTACACTAGATCTTCACTCCCAACGGTCTGTGATATGTCACACCTCGTAACGCATGCAGACCAGACTAATCAGAAGTGTGCTAAGGAGAAACGCCGAAACTTTCCACCAATCGTTGATGTTCGTGTTGGGGAAATTACAAGTAACATTTCTAGGTTACGAACATATATTAGTGAAAAGCACGTAGAATTTCTGGTTTTGTTTTCGCGCGAAACAGAAATTAACCGAACATGTTATGTCTGTTGGAATTTATGTTTTATCTGTTTTCATTGGTTGGGACTTAAAGACCGCTATCCCAGCCGGCGTTTCAAATAAGCATGGCTGTTCCCAGGAGTTAAAACCGCAAAAAATACTGGACTGAACATGAAAGAAATATACAGGCTAGGTATTTCAAACAGGACAGATAGAAGGATACATCAGTATGTTAGGGACAAAAATCCATCGTATTATTTTAAGTCACATACAGACAGACATACTTTCGACAAGATAACAAAACCTCTATAAAATTGAAAGAACAAATACACCTTGGTAAAATAGACATGTTTATAAGTTCTTTGACAGAATCAGAAACACATCTTATTTTATTTCAACATTTTCCAAAATAATAACGTGTTAATCATCCGAACTGAAAGGTGAAATAAGAAATCCGGAGAACGTGCTGTAGCCAACCCCATGGATTGTGGGCGAGTTGTTGATGAAATTTCGGACCCAAACCATGTCCCCTACATTTAACGACAAAACACATGTCCTTGTGCCTTTATCGAAGTTTGTGGCAGAAAACAAATACCCGACATCGACGCCATTTTTAACGATGGAAATATGAAATTGATGGTCTACAGCACTTACAAGTAGCACAGTAGAGGTAAATGAGTACACCCCTGCGACAGATGCTGTGAAATGTCCGTGACGCGGGTCGTATCCACCACCGACATTGGTTATAACGTTATCAAACTCAATGACCTGGTGTTGTCCGAGTTGTAAAGGGTGTGGGGACACGAGCCTTGCATAAAATCCAATGACAGTGTGGTTATCTGAAACAGCAATTATGGGTTTTAATCTCTGGAAAATGAAAATCACCACTGTTATTTTCTCTTTGTATTGTGGTTTTAGATATTCAAACTATATCTTATTCCTGATTTTTGTTATCTAATTCTCAGTTTATTAATACGTCTTGTCAAGAGGTGTTTATAACATTACCAGTAGAAGCTGTAAGTGTGGCGTGTTGATGACAACGGTGTAACAAATCTAACAGATAACCCATAAGAAGACTTAGCGCTGTCGTTTATAGTCCACGAGTACAGAATCCACTCTTCGGCTGTAATATAAACCTATGTACACTAAGGTAGAAAATACCGAGAGGAAAAAGAAACGCAATTAGGAATTTCCAGGTCAACTACGGGAAATAGAAAAGGGTTTAAGAATGTTATTATGGTGTAACTGGGATATAGTTGACCACTCTGTCATCTACGAGAATTTCATTCGTGAACGTTAAGTAAACCTTCCAAATTTGACGTTGATTCAAGAGTACCCCGCTCAAAATGAAGTGCGTTCTGGACCCATCAATATCGTGTGTGCCCCCAGCACGAATCTTTTGTACATTGAATTGATCAGGGTATTAACCCTCCTCATTGGTATACGATTCCATTCCTCATCCAGCGCCAACGCTAACTGAGCAACGTGGATTGGAGGATTCGGCCTACGTCTTATCCTGTCCAACTCGTCCCATAAATGTTCTATTGGGGAGAGGTCAGGGCTGTATTGGGGTCAGTCTAGGGATGGGGCATTATTTGCTGCGAGATGATCACTGTAAACACTCGCTACATGCGGCCGGGCGTTGTCCTGCTGAAACGTCAGTTGACGCTGCTGTACTAGAGGAACAACGTGCGGCACCAGAACTTGATCTCTATAGCGGACGGCCGTGAGATTTCCCTGAATAACGACCAGAGGAGTCTTGGTACCATGCGCAATCCCTCCCCATACCATGACCGATCCTCCTCCAAAGCGGCCATTCTCTATCACGCAAGCATTTGCATAGCGCTCGTGGGCACGTCCATAGCCACGACATCTGCCGTCTGCCCGGTAAAGTGAAAACCTGGACTCATCTGAGAAAAGGACCCTTCTCCAACGTTGCATTGGGAAGCGTCTTACGGAATGTGCGTTCAGCTATTGCATTCGTCTGGCACGTCGCCGCGCATTAAGCTGTGGTCCAACATATGGCCGCCGCGGTCTTAGACCGAAGGCACGCAGTCGAGTACGCACTGTCTTTGGATCAATTGGAAGATGATGATGCCCAATTGTGTTCCTTGCTGTTTCCGTGGCCGTCAGAAAGCGATTGCGTAGGTGCGAAAGTCGCATTGCCCTATCCTGCCGACGCGTCGTCACACGAGTGCGACCGCTTCGGGGACGGTCTGCAACCCTTCCGGTGGCATGTAGTCTTTGGCAAATGTTCGATGGATGGACTCCAAATTGATTAGCGACCTGATTTTGCGGGGTACCTTGCATAAGAAGTGCAGTGGCTCGACCCCTGTCAATTTCTGACAGATGTGGCATTTTTACGGTGAACTGTTTATGTTTAAAATGTGGGAAATCAAGACGGATATGTCTGAAGATTCGCACACACAGATTTTGAACCAACCCTGAATACTGGGTTCGAGATATCGTGCCTTCGTCTCTTATTCTTTTGTACAAGCGGCGTGCGCAGTTTAGTAATGCATCAGTGATTTTGATACGGTACCATAGGGACCTAACTCAAATGCACACATTTGTCAAGTTTCAAGGATGTACGTCAAGGATTTAATTTACAATATTAACTTTTTGCTAATTGCGTTTCCTTTTCCTCTCAGTATACACAAGATGGTAGCAATGTACCAATATTTATACAAAACATATAGGAGATTAACTAAAATAGAAAACTGTGTTATGTTTCAATTGATCGCACATATCTACAGATTTAAACAACTGTATTCAGTTTAAAGGCTATTTGCTCAAAAGCTTGACCTTAACCACGGGACATTTCGCTGCAATATTCTTGGCATCTTCTCCCATAGTAGATTATTTACCTGTAAAGGCATTGAATATTTTATTGACCTCCGTCCTTCATTGGCGACCTTGCACTCGCTCATTTTATTCCTGTCTAGTTTGCTTCATGATTTTATCACAAATCCAAATTAGTTGTAAATAGATTTTAGCTTTCACGCAGTCACCTGAACAATTAGTCACGTGATTCTGAACGAAATTGCTTCAGTATACAAAAAAACCGTAAAACGTTTAAAATCAATAGCAAAAGATTTGTCATTTGACATTGACCTTTGACCTGGTGTCTTGAAGCAGTTGTCAGGTGGTTTGCCATTACCGGTCTATCAACTTTACCTTATATAGTTATGAAAGAAATCAATTTTCGGAAGATTTGATAAAAGTCTCTTAGCGACAGAGACTGAAGGTAACGCTGACTGCAATCAAATAAGCATGAGTATATACATATATAAAGTTTCAGTCAGCCATATATGATACTTAAAAAATAATTAGTAAGAAAACATTGAAATGCGAAAGGGAGGTAATTTAACCTTGACATAAAAGTCATAGTAGCGTAATTGTGAAACACCCAACTGTGGTACTAGATAGTTTTCATCTTCATTGGAATGCGTGACATCATAAAACCAGTTAGTATTAGAGAACCAAAATCGACCGAACTCTTAATACTTACCTGCCAGGTGACCACCAGCTACTTTCCGTATCCGTGGTAGTTCGGCATCTGTCGTAAAGGAAATATGGGTTTTTTTTTTCAATTTCTAGGTTTTTCAGTGAAATAGTTAGTCTGTATATGGACAATATGAGTTGTGTACAACTCCGATCATGTGAGGTTACATGATAATTCACAAAACAAACCATAGTCTCCAATTGGTTGTTAATACATTCATTCTCTCTGTCTGTCTCTCTCTGTCTGTCTCTGTCTCTCCCTCTGTCTCTCACTCCCTCCCCCCTCTCTCTCCCCCCCTCTCTCTCTCTCTCTCTCTCTCTCTCTCTCTCTCTCTCTCTCTCTCTCTCTCTCTCTCTCTCTCTCTCTCTCTCTCTCTCTCTCTCTCTCTCTCTCTCTCTCAACATAGGATATTATTTACTGTAAATTGCCTTATCGGTTTATCGTTTTTATCAGTGTGTTTTGAAGACAAGTACAGTGATGAATGTTATGAATACTTGTTTCCAATTATTTTGTAAATATTTATTTGCAATAAAATATGTTTAAATCAAACGAAAATAACGGAGATAAATTGATAAATACAATAGGTTAGCATGCTCATATATCATGTATTGAAAATCAGCAGACCGTAGCGGGGTTAGCAGGTCTATATTCTTCAACGCGACGGGGATAGAGAGAACATTATTTTCGTGAGCTTTGTTAATGTGACAACCCAGATTTGCCAGGAAAATCACTCTTGGCGTCCTTTTTGGAAGACGTGTTGAAATCATGCTTTTGTATTCTAAATATACAATAGAAAAAAATCTGGAAACGGGGTGTTTCAAGTCCATTCATTTCAAAATACACTACTTTAAGAATATCAACGGAATCAGACAGCGAAGTAATGTCGGTTATTACATTTTGTAAATTCGTTTTTCACAGCCGTTTAACTAATTCTGTTGACTTGTTTGTAAATGATACCATTGTGAGATGAGATTATGAGATTATGAGATAGGTCACGAAAGTTATTCGCTCTCAAATTCAAAGGTCCCGAGATCGAAACTCCCGTCCATGTTTCCTTTTTATGGGTGGTGGTTAATTTATATAAAGAAATGTATTTAGCTGATTGGATATCACACGTTATTTTTCAATTAAGTCTTATGCAATAACTGTAATAAAATATAACACATACAATCTTTGAATGTCTGAGATATACAACATTAACATAGAGCTTTTAATTATTAAATAGTCTCAAATCTATAAAACTTCAAAGTATCTCATACGCATTCGCAATTCCAAATGCTTTCAGGTTTGGGGTTTACTTAAATTAAATGTATTTAATTTCTGAGAAACTTTTTGTCAGTTTTCTTGATTACGACCTCTTTAGAGTTGCGGTAATCTGTGTGGAGAACTTGATGACAGTCTTTGATTCTGTACCTAATACACTCAGAACCGCCGATATCTATCAATAAGACCGTTATAACCCCTCTGTCTCTCTGTCTCCCTCTCCCTCCCCCCCTCTCTCTCTCTCTCTCTCTCTCTCTCTCTCTCTCTCTCTCTCTCTCTCTCTCTCTCTCTCTCTCTCTCTCTCTCTCTCTCTCTCTCTCTCTCTTTCTCTCTCTCTCTCTCTCACCCTACCCTCTCTCTCTCTCTCTCTCTCTCTCTCTCTCTCTCTCTCTCTCTCTCTCTCTCTCTCTCTCTCTCTCTCTCTCTCTCTCTAACACACACACACCCACCCACACATCTCTCTCTCTCTCTCTCTCTCTCTCTCTCTCTCTCTCTCTCTCTCTCTCTCTCTCTCTCTCTCTCTCTCTCTCTCTCTCTCTCTCTCTCTCTCTCTCTCTCTCTCTCTCTCTGTAACACACACACACCCACCCACACATACACACTCTCTCTCTCTCTCTCTCTCTCTCTCTCTCTCTCTCTCTCTCTCTCTCTCTCTCTCTCTCTCTCTCTCTCTCTCTCTCTCTCTCTCTCTCTCTACACACACACCACCACCACACATACACACTCTAACACACTCTCTCTCTCTCTCTCTCTCTCTCTCTCTCTCTCTCTCTCTCTCTCTCTCTCTCTCTCTCTCTCTCTCTCTCTCTCTCTCTCTCTCTAACACACACACACACACCCACACATACACACTCTAACACACTCTCTCTCTCTCTCTCTCTCTCTCTCTCTCTCTCTCTCTCTCTCTCTCTCTCTCTCTCTCTCTCTCTCTCTCTCTCTCTCTCTCTCTCTCTCTCTCTAACTCACACTCTCTCTCTCTCTCTCTCTCTCTCTCTCTCTCTCTCTCTCTCTCTCTCTCTCTCTCTCTCTCTCTCTCTCTCTCTCTCTCTCTCTCTCTCTCTCTCTCTCTCTCTCTCTCTCTCTCTCTCTCTCTCTCTCTCTCTCTCTCTAACACACACACACACCCACACATACACACTCTAACACCCTCTCTCTCTCAGAGATCTTGATCTAGAATAATTGAGATACTGTACCTTTATCCCGGATTTGGACCATGTCGACATTCAGTTGCTCTAGCTGTCTCAATCTCGTCTCCATGACCTCATTGCTTGCTTTTAACTCCTCCGTTTGATGGACGAGGTCAAGATTTTCCTTTTCAAGTAATTCTATGGCGTAAAATAAAATATTTATGTATATAATGATATGTTTCTATATCGTTGCCAATGATATACAGATTGCGCAATGTTAATTATTATTCAATATTCACAAAAACTAAATGAAGGACTGTACCAAGAATAAATGAAATTCAAGGAAGTACTTTCGACAATATTAAGATACAATAAGTGACATGGAATACTATTTTGCAGACATGAAAAACACGTGACTGCTAGTTACTAGTCTTTTACCCGTCATTAAGATGCGAGATTGTAAAGTAAAACACGTGACTGCTAACTGACTAGTCCTAAGTGCTCATTCTACAGTAATGACATTTCATTGAATGTTCCTCATTCGCCTCCAAGGCTTCGAATTTTAGGCCTTTAGCATCAATGACGAGTACTAGAAGGACGAAACAGCTGTATGACGCAGTTTAATTCATTGTTTGGCTCTATTGTGTCTAACTCCAAATGATGAAAATGCGTTCTTTACGCACAAGATTTTTAACGATATGCGCGAGACAGAATTTTGAGAGAGAGATAGTTTAAGTTGTTAGCAGTACTACCTATTCGTTGTCCATAGTCCTTCAGCATCTTCTTAATTTCATTCAACTCCTGGTCCTGAATGTCATTCCTGGCACCGGAAGTTGTTGCCTGTACGGATCTTGTTGACAGGAAAACAACAAGGAAAACATAATTCACAATCATCTCGTTTGCCCTGCCTAAATGTGCAAGCTTTCTTATCAGTTGACCTCAACATTTCGTCCAGTCTTATCTTCTGATAAGTGTATGTGATTTTCTGTTTAAATGGTTCCCTATGTGTTTATCATTATTTACCTAACATTTATTGCTGCAGTTTACGTTGTTGTCCATGTGAAAGAACGTGATCAAATGTTGTCTTTATAACAGACAGAACATCGTGTACGACTTAACATTGATTGCTGCAGTTTACGTTGTTGTCCATGTGAAAGAACGTGGTCAAATGTTGTCGTTATAACAGACAGAACATCGTATACGACTTAACATTGATTGCTGCAGTTTACGTTGTTGTCCATGTGAAAGAACGTGGTCAAATGTTGTCTTTATAACAGACAGAACATCGTATACGACTTATTATTTCAACCGTGGACAGAATAACCGAATATTAACCGAATATTACAAGCAGTTTGGGATCGGTTTCACTGTTGATACTAGCTAAAGCAAACAGTTGTTGATTTTTTTCTTTGCTCTGATTTATTAATAGACTTTGACTACACAGGGTTTCCATTACAGTTAAATTGCAGTCAATTAATTCCCCTTTGCATTTGGAGATGTTTGTAACACGACTTTTTAAAAAATGACGTAATTTTGCTTCATTCTAGAAACATCCAAAAAGAAATAAAAAAGGGAGTTTCAGTATTTACCATTTAGTTCATTCAAAGAAAGACGTTATTTTTCAGGTGAAATTTTCCCCATAAAATTTACAATTAACTGAAAGCATCGATATTTTAGCCTCTTTACACTGAGATATCTAATACAACGGCTATACCCTTTCTATAATTAAACTCTTGTTCATGTACATATAAACCCCCTCACTCAACTGAACAAATCCTAAACTTGATATACAATGTATATCACGTTGGCATTTAACTGTATTACCCTATCGTTAACAACGACTAGTAAAACAAATAAAAAACCGACATGTTAACAGTCTCTTGATAAAACATTCTTTGGCAAAATAAGAACAAAAAGATCATTAAGACGGAGACTTCTGAAAAAAATACAAGAAGAATGAGAAAGGTAACCATTTTCAGCTTCATCGAAAACACCCGTCATGCAAAACTTTGTCAATCCAAGCAAGTAGTGTCACGTTTCCAAATGAGGACAACGAATCTAACGAACATCAAAACTATAGGATATTTCTCAATAAGATCGTTATGACGACCATAGAACTTCCCCTTTATCGTCATCAATCTGTATCTCTCGAAAACCTGTGTTGTGAACATGTCTGTCAGTTGCCAACATCTTGCATGATAATCGCAACAGGAACAGGCTTTAGAATATCGAATCACCTGCGACACGTACAAACCACAGGTTGGGAGGCGGGGTTTTTGTTATCCAGAAACGGAAAATTCACAATCAGGTGTGCTTACCGTGTGTAATGTTTTAAGTTTAATAGTTTTAAACCGACAATATAGAATATTGAATAGATAAAATGCTTCAAAGAATAGCCTAGAAGAACGTTTCCATCTACGAAATAAGAACTAGATACTATAGAGTGATGAACTAAAATGCATCATAATAAGGTCTCATTTCTGGGGCCTAAAGAATCGAAATGTAGAAGGCGGAATATGTAAACTGTCCGACAAAAATCGAGTATTGACGGGGCTGTCACTAATTCTGTAATTTGTGTATTTTTTTATACGGGAAAACGGTTACCTTTGTAAAATTACTTTCTAAAACGTTCTACACTTTTGATGAATTAAATCATATTTCTCGTGGTTGACTTAATGGAATGAGCAAGAAATAGTTTTTCTCTGTTAGATCGCCCACCAGGTGGTACACCTGAATTGGTTAGACGTGTACGTTGAATATTGTTAACCGGCAAACAACTCGGGGCACTCCATGGTATATAACGTCAGACCTACTGCCTATACAACTCGGGGCACTCCATTGTATATAACGTCAGAAGTACTACTATCACTGACCACCGGGATTACAAGCTATACAACTCGGGGCACTCCATTGTATATAACGTCAGAAGTACTACTATCACTGACCACCGGGATTACAAGCTATACAACTCGGGGCACTCCATTGTATATAACGTCAGAAGTACTACCATCACTGACCACCGGGATTACAAGCTATACAACGACAGAGAGACTGCGTGATTACATGGACTTACCGATTGATAACTTAAACAAAGACGTTAGGGCTGCAACAGAAGAAAGTTCGAGTGAATTTTAAAAAATCTGAAAGCTAAAGTGTGGGCCTTGAGTGTTCAAATATAAGTATACTGAGCAAAATTCCTAAGCAAGTGCGTAGAACGAAAGGAATCGAAAAAACTTAAAGAAACTACGGTCTGGAGGAGTCAGTTTGGCATGTGATCAGTTTGAGAATTTCGGAATGTCTAGTCATTTCAACTGATGGACAACAGGAATTCCACCCTACAGCGAAGTTAAGGTGAATGAGGGTAGGTTGAAGCACACCAGGGATGGGCACTTGTGATTACAATTTGAATGTTATTTGGTTTGGATAAAAAACACCACTTTTTTTCTACCACGCCTCCAGCTTTTGTTTGCAGTAGTAGATCTGCTTGGAAAAAATCAGATTTTGTAGACGAAGCCATCAACCATTAAAGAGTTGGATGAGATTATTGATGAAGCGCCATATATTGTAAACCTGTTATCGGTGGTAGTGCTACACCATGACAAGAGACGACATATCTCTGATATGTGGACGGTAAACAGACATCTCTGAAAATGTGAACAGCTGTGATGTACGTAAGAAAGGGGACATTGGGGTTCAAATCTGATATACTTTCAGCTTATAATCATGTCGTAGAACGTCCCTTCCTTCTTGCGTTCTCGACGGTGAACAAAAAATTGTTTCTTTAATTTTCTAATGCTATATTTTGGAACTATGACTTACCTTACCTTGCTAATATGCTTCCTCATACACTGATTGGTAACTGACGGACATATACTTTTCATATTCTTGTGTTTTTGAATGACGGTTTACATTGTAACCAGGAACAAAAAGTGCCATTGAAAGAGGATGTTAGGGTGAAATCTTCATAATTAACTTCCGGTTTTATTTCTAAAGCTGACAAGGCCTTGTGGGAACTTGTATAACTGTTGGTTTTATCAAAGGTAGACATCAATGATTTGCGTGATCATTTTTTTTTCTATTCTGTGGTGTAGGATATATAAATCACGTGTCGCATTGACTTGTAGACGTCGGCATCTTGGGAACAAGCAGTTCATAATGAAAGAGAGCTAAGGTTGTTAATCCTATCTTAATAATGTCCATTGTTTTGGGAAACATCACGCAACTTATGACTGGAGTGATTCAGCAGTTGTCACCACGTGATCAAATTCAATAGCCAAGTGTTCTCTGAGTTGTAAAGGATGCCGGGATACTGACCTAGAGTAAAATCCGACCGCGGTCTAGCTATCTTAAACACGGGTAATGGTTATTAGTGTAAATTGTTAAACAGTTCTTATTATCACTATCAATATTTGAACATTAAATCCAACATATTGACTTATAATGACTTACAATATATCAATTGTATACTGTGTGACGTCAATGTTATACTGACGTCATATACACAAGTTATTCAGGGTACTGAGTGTGCTGTGTTGTGTCCTATGTTTGGGGGTTTTTCAGAGACTATGGTGGAAGACTCAACGAAATGCTTAACTTGGAGAGACCTGAATCTCACTTATAGTGTTATGTGTTCTTTTTTTCAAAAGTTTGGCAGGACAGAGTGTAAAATGGTTGGCAAGATACCGAGGCTGTGGTGTCTTTATAGAGAAAGGTAGCGTGAAATCAGAGCTGCAGCTGATAGCTATGGGCTTGTATAATTTGTGTTGGATGCATGGTGTGGTGTTGGATACCTAGATCTGAGAACGAAAGAGCAAATTCACTTAGTAATATTACAGATTCTGATGACTGGGGGACTTTTCTCGCTAAATTTAGACAGTGGGATTTAGGCCCATATAACAAATTAATTTGCTTCGAACTGTAATGCAAAACACAAAATGGTTTTGCTCCAGATTCTGGAATACTGAATCCCAAGGAGTGGATGCTTTCGCACATGTATATAATTGCGGTTAGTTTGTGCCCCTAGTGTATGTTATTACATTTGTTTCAAGCCTACAAGGCACGTGAAACTCTGATAGTTCCTGCACAGAAAATTGAACTTTTCTGGTATTGTGCGCTTATGAGTGGATGCTTATATCAGATATGTTATTCACAGGCAGGCACAGATAAAAAAAACCCGGATAAGTTTAACAAGAACTCTGGACATCCATCTTTTTTCTTGCCACAAAAGAAAGGACAAACAAGAAACATTTTTCAGTTCGAGATAATTTATTTTCGGATTAACGGGTGTTATCAGAAAACCAGAAAACGTACAATAACCATTACCAAATATCTTTGGCGAGTTATTTTCGTTGTTGCGGACCCAGACCATATCTCCTACTGCTAATGACAAGACCACCGTTCTGGTGCCTGTATCGTAGGCCGTTAGAGAAAACAAAACTCCAACGTCCACGCCGTTCTTAACAATAGAGAGGTGCATGTGATGATTGCTGGAGCTTTCAAGGAGAGCAGTAGAACTGAAGGAGTATAAGCCAGCGACTTGTGCCGTGAAGCGTCCTTGTCTGGAGTCATATGCATTGCCAGTATTTGTCACTACGTAGTCAAACTCGATAGCCTGGTGTTGTCCGAGTTGTAGAGGATGCGGGGATACTAGCCTTGAGTAAAATCCGACCGCGGTCTGGTTATCTGAAACACGGGTAATGGTTATTAGTATGAATTGTTAAGTATGGAATGTAATGGCTTTTATTGTCTCTATGGTATGGAAGCATGAAGTGAATAGTGTGTTGAAAAAGATTCGCAGTAGATGTTATACAGCTCAGTAATACGACGGGTTCGAACAGGGAACGAGTGACTGGTGTAGAGGACTATCATGCCAAACTAACGTCAGTCATATAATC